AATATCTACTAAAGGTACAGGAGGTAACTTACTTAACCGTATCTGCTAAACATAGAGGAGTCGCCACTGGAAGCAGATGGCTAAGGACCGCAGCAAGATAGACACCAAACGCTGGGTGTCACTAGTCCTTCATAGTATAGCACACGATTGTCGCCGGGCCATAATACGAGCAAGACAAATAAGTGTAAATCATGGAAAAAACCATGAAAATGTCCTTCCTTGTGGACAAGATGATCATCTACCAGGAGTCGCTAAAAGAACCACGGGAAAGACTATTAGGACTAAGAATCTATTAGGGCTAAGTTATAAAATTACAAACATAAAGTCAATAGTGTTCTATACACCGTCAGAACTCAGAACAGGGAATAGATAAAAGAGATCTTAGGGGCACCTGAGTGGCTCGGTCGGTTGAGCGTCCGACTTCGGCTCAGGTCATGATCTCGCTGTCCGTGAGTTCAAGCCCCGCGTCAGGCTCTGTGCTGACAGCTCAGAGCCTGGATCCTGCTTCGGATTCTGTGCCTCCCTCTCTCTCTGTCCCTTCCCCGCTCACATTCTGTCTCTCTCTCAAAAATAAATAAACATTAAAAAAAAATTTAAAAAGAGATCTCAACCACAATGTCAATAAAATGTACATAATTAAAAACTTCTTCACAAAAAGAGGAGAGCTTTGAAAAAAATCTCTAAAACTTGACAGAAAGTAAACGAATAGAGACAAGGAGGACACCGTTGGATGGGGAGCCTCAGTATTATGCAGACATACATTTTTTCCAAATAGATAAATGCATTTGGAGCAATCCAATCAAAACTTAAAATTTTCTTCAACTGGAAGAGAAGATTGTGAAAAATCATTTATGTGAGTAAAGGCCTGAGACAAGTTGAGACACTTTATAAAAGATCCTCGGCAAAAACCACCACGAAGGGAAGATCATCTACCAGATATCAAAGTACGTTATGATGTTAGTACAGTGAAAATAAAGTTGTATCTGTACATGAATGGACTTCTGCGTCAGTGAAGAAAATAGAGCATAAGGAAACCAGGCTCATGGAGATAAAAGAAGGTCAATATATATTAAAGGGGACACCTGAGGCCAGCAGATAAAGGATGAATTATTTAATAATGATTTGGTGACAAATGCTTCATTTGAAGAAAAACAAGGTCAGATCTTACCACATATCATCCGGAAAAGCAAAGAGCAGAGCCACTGAAGGCCTAACCGTAAGTTACGCTACTCAGAATTGTCCCGGCATGGTGCAAGGTGACAACAAAAAGGCTGACTTTTGTTGAACTTATTATTGTTTTAAAATTCTCTACCGGAAGTGCACCCTTCCTGCTTGCACCCTGAACACACTGTTCTCTCTCCCATGCCCCCCCCCCCCCCCCCCCCCCCCCCCCCCCCCCAGGGACCACCTGGAGGCAATCTTCTGCAGGCACTGCGTGGAGATGTGTGCTGACATTTCTATCACTGTGAATAGCAGGTGGCAGGAGAATATGGAGAGTAAAGGCCCGTTTTGCTAAGATACTGATCGCTTACAGAACTGTATTTCTTTAAAAAAATTTTTTTTTAATGTTTATCTATTGAGAGACAGAGAGAGACAGAGCATGAGCAGGGGAGGGACCGAGAGAGACAGGGAGACACAGAATGTGAAGCAGGTTCCAGGCTCCGAGCTGTCAGCACAGAGCCTGATGCGGGGCTCGAACTCACAAACTGCGAGATCATGACCCGAGCCAAAGTCGGACACTCAACCGACTGAGCCACCCAGGTGCCCCCAGAACGG